GACAATTATCTGGCTCTTTAAAGGTTTGCTGACCTGGATCTAATCTGTTTATAATCTAACTTATCCTGAGGAAAATATTTCTCATTCTCTAATCACTTGCTGAGCTATTACAGCTAAATAAAGTGTGGTTTCTGTCTTTCAGAAAGAGGAGGGGCTAAAGCAGATACTGCTTGCTATCATGTCCATGATCTATTTCCAAAAATAAGAACCAGCAGTAATGTTTATGAGAAAGTAAGAGATTTACCTGTGCTGATGCTTCCCCATCCGGTCACAGCACAGATCTCGGAGGAAAGCAGAGGCTCTGTGCCGTGTGAGAGACACACTGGCCTCACCTCCGAGTTGTACTCCAGAGGAGAGCTCAGTCGTATTAGGGCAATGTCAGAGTCATAGCTCTGCGTATCAAAGTCTTCATGAAACAGGATGTGTCTGGCTCTTCTCACCTGTATCAATGGAAAGCAAGCCAATTATAAGAAAGTTGAAGAGTCAAGCTGCATCATGGCATAATGGTCCAAAATAAACCCTAAATCTCTCTATTTCCATAGATCAATGAAGTAGACTTTGTACTAAATTTAAAAGAGCAATCTTGGTTTATAACTTGCAGGAAAGCATGAACCATTTTCTGAGAATTGATGGTCCTGGAGAAATGAAACTATATAGACCTGTGCACATGGACCTGAATTTGCACTTCCTGATGACCCATCTCACCAAATTCTCAACTTAAAATGTGATCTAAAATAGCATCTGTAGATGTAGGTATAAATGATAAGTACAAAAGAGGGCTAGGACATTACTACTTACATATTTTAGCTAACGGTATTCCCTGGCATGTGACAACATTTAGAGCACAGAGAGAATGACCCTTAAAAGCATTTCTCGCCTACTCAGTTGATTCTGTCAGGGTTCTGTCATGGTCCCTAATGATAATAGCCCAGAAGAGTGGATAATTTTTTGTGGAGAAAAAAGAACAATGAAAGTTTGACATGAAAATACGTTTTGGGGTTTTTTATTCGATTTTTATGTAGTTTTTATTCATATTTGTTATTTTTTCATAAGTCAATCTTTGTAATTCTTTTTATTTTTTTAGGTCCAAACCCATATCACTCTTTGACCTGGACTGTTCAGTTCAGCCAGGTGACACTCACTCCCATCTGGGTGCCTCAGGGTGATCTCCCAACAAAGGGTGCCACACAGCCTCCTGATCTATGGAAGGAAGAGCTCTTAATGGTGTATCTTTCCCCC